CCCCCGTAGAAGGCAGATGGTCCTTTTATGTATTTTTGCCTGTGTCAACGAGGCCTCATGGTTGTACTCCTTTTCGCTCTCTCAAAACTAGATTGGACTTTTGGCCTTTTGATACCTCCATTGACTCCGAATGACCCCGATGGAGGCAGGTTGGCGGGTCCTTTGCCTGAGCAAACCTCAACAGTCTAACATGTCAAAGTGGCCACTGTGACCTAAGGGTTGTAGATAGAACACATTGGGAGCCAAAACAGCAGGATGAGGATTGCTTTGGGTGACTTGTGTGTTCCTTGTAACTTGCATGTGTGTCAAACATGTTTGGTGACCCACATGGCTTTTCTTCGGGTGCAGACGGAGATTCCCCTGGCCCTGTGAACTGGTGATGTCTTCGAGCAAATCACCAATGACGCTTCGAAGCTGTTCTTGATATCACCCGTACTACCTGAGCCACCTTTTGAAGCTCGAAACCAGAGGCATGTTGAATGCACACGATCAATGATTTCTTCAGTCACTGGGTGCCGGGTCCAGATCTTCTTCCGTCACAGCGGAGTCCAAGTCTAAAGTTAATTCGTGCAAGATATGGTGTCTGCAGCAGACGGCTTGGACATGGCAGAGTCAGGTGGCTGTGATGTGCAAAGTCAGGTTCCCTGGTGCTAGTTGCGATTTATGTTCTCTGGTTGTATCAACATGGGGCTGAAGAAAAGCTCCTCACAGGTCCCTGCTGCCAGTGTCCAAGGTTTGAGGCTGGCTGGGAATAGGCCGCTAGTTTAAAGCGCCGAAATGGCTAGCTGCTAGCTTCCTGTTTGAAGCGTCCAAGCACCCCTTGAGTTGCGGGATGTTTGGGCCCAGGCAGTATTCTAAACAGGTTTGAGCTTCTTGGCTCAAACATCAATCTGAATCTGAATGGTATCCTTGTCGCAGATTCACTCTGCGCCCAGCCTTCTGACACGAACCTGATCGCGTCAGAGACGTTCTTCGAACATGCTGGTCCAATGCTGGTGCATTTTGATGTGCTTCGATCAAGGTATCACAGAAGGCTGAATGATATAACAAGTTGAATCAGTTGCACGCCACAGCCAGGAGGTCTCTTCGTTTGTAAGTCTTTTTTGTGGAGCTTCAGCACCCTCAATGACGATCGCAGCTGCGAGTGACTTTGGGACTTCGGCCAAGAGGAAGTCGCAACAATGTTCTTCGGACACTTGGAGATTGTTGGTTAACACCTGGAGTGTCAAAGTATTCACAAGACCAAAAAAGGAGATGATGTGCTTGCTTAGCTACAGGACGCGTAGTGTTGGCCGCGGTTTGCAGAGCTCTTGCAGCTCTTGAATTTTCCCCATTTAGGACATACATGCGTTTGACCATGGTAACCTTCAACAAGCAAGCAGAGTGCCCCAACTTTGGCTGGGGCTGTGGCATTCGGCAGTAAGGACAGTTGGCGATGGTTTGGAGCCTTTGGGGGACGCTTCGATGATGCAGACGAGACGAGCATGCTGTCATTGGAATGTTGCTCGACTTGGTGACCCAGAAACTGACCCTCAAAGGCCAAAACCAAGCAGGGGAATGATACGGGCTGGTGCACATTGAGATGAGGTCATTCACCTTCATGAAATACTAGTGCTACTTTGGATTCTAATTCTTGTTTCTAATAGCTTCTTGTTACTAGTAGTAAGGCCAGGAGCCCCTAGTAGCGTCCTTGCTCCTAGTAGCGTATCATATTTACAGCCTTCGGCATGCCGCCGGCCACCAGCTCGAGCCCGCATTGGCAGGCAGCCTAATGATGCTTATTAACAGTGTTCCACAGTTCTATTTTCGTTCCAAGGCAGGGACAAGATCACCTCTTCTAGGCTGAAGCAGCTATATAATCCGGCACGTCTCTTTGATTCAACTCGCTTTTTCCTGTTCTCGCCATGGCCTAGTCTGAAGCAACCGGGGCAGGGCAGGCTGTCGAAACATCCGCGCGGAGAAACAAACCGTAGATTGAAACCAACCGTAGATTGAAACCAATGGAAACCAACACAAGCCAGACGAAGCATGACAATCCACAAAACCGGTACTTGAAAATGAGTCTTCTTCCAAACTACTTGGCCTTTTGCATGTTTTCCTTGTCAGATCTTTTTTTCGACCGTCCTGAGGAATTGCGACTTGCAGAAGATATTCTTTTCAGACGGCACGATTACCAGGGAAGAGCAAGTAACCAGGGAAGAGCATGGAAGTTGACCAAAAGTCATACACATGTAGGTGTGAAACAAAAACATCAAAGTTGGTGAGTAAAAACAGAACTAATTTATCAAAAATTTGGGGCACTGCCACTAGTATTCCACTAAGCTTTCATTGGAGCTGATGGAACATTGTATTGAGCAACTGATGTTTTCAATTTTTTTGGACTTTGTTCAAATTTTGGGCTAGTAACAGCACGAGTTGGATGTCTCTGGAAATTACTGTGTATGCAGACAGTGTACAAGGTCATTGGTACACTGCCATTTGTGTACACTGCCATTGGTTTGCACTCGGTGTTGCACTTGGTTTGCACCACTATCCTTTCGCATTGTAGTGTGCGAAAGCCACACCCCATCCATGGCACAGAAATTGCCACCCCATTGTGAAAGGGGGACACTGGGGGGCGGCAGCTGGATGTTTCCA